TGAGCGATTGGCTAATATTTTACTATCGTTGGAAGTACCGTTAGGACTGAGAGGCCCCTAGAAACCGAGCTTCGATTCGAGGCAGGTTGATAATCCGCAGAGAATAACCGCTTCTGCTGTATTGACTGGGTTAGGAGGAATGGTTGACCATGTGCAGTGTTAGATAAAGTAGGAAGCGAGGGTTAATTTCGTGAGTGGGGGTTGAGTGATGTTGAGATCGATAAGCGCCCTTACTATGCGCTATGAGTACTGCGTAGTATGCAATTAAGTGGAGTTGAAAGGTCCTTTGACTTTAATGATTGATGAGTTTGGGTAATGCTTTGAAGACTCGATTTGGCTAGGAATGAGCAAGGTGGCACTGACATTGCTAAGCATGCCTATGATTGGAATCGGAGGCTGATTGACTCATTAAGTGATCGTTGTATTGAGCCTGCCTAGGGGGATAGTTAAGTTAAGATGGAGCATTTCCCCTAATCATATGACCCCCGCTTTAAAGAATGTTGCTGACACGGGAACAACATGGATGAGGGGATGACTGATAAAGTGCGAAGTGAGGAGTTTTATTGTAAGAGTATTTCCTTGAGCCCAGGCAGAGATGTGATATGATAGGTTCTACGGCCGGTACGATGCTTAAACTCTTCTATAGTGTGAGTTGGTGATGATTTGAGTCGCTTGCGGACTGTCTGGCTAACTATCGATAAATCTCGAGAAGTGGTGGTCACTAGGATAGCAGGTTTGGCTGGTTCGAAGAGAGGGCTATGTGTTAATTATATGTGATATATGTATATATGGTATTTGTGATTGCTTGGTTGATTGTCTGTATATATGTGTTGTCATTGTGTTTGATTGATGTCTGATTGATGGCGTACGTATGGATTGCCCTACACGAGGATATAGATTCTGCATGAAATCCACGTCTGGCATGGGACCAGGGGTGAATGGGGTGACTGCTTTTGTGGAAGGTGGTTCTTCCAAAAAGGGAGTTAGTCGGCGTGTATAATTAGTCCTCATTGGAAGTGCGTTCTTGAATTGTTACTCCCTCGGTGAAGCTTAAGGAAGCGGTTATTAGTCTTGAAACTGATAGTGAGACCCACGCCGGAACTATGTTCCTGGCCCATTAGTGGGGTGTTGTTGTCTCTCCTGTGATGGGAGAGTGACTACATTATCTGTTGAGAAAGACGGAAAAGACTTACTACCTCGCTGAGGCTGTGATCGTCAGGTAAAACAACTACTGCTTAGTGAGAGCGGATCTGGGGTAGCGACCTAGACACGTCTCTCGCTAAGCAGGGTCACCATATTTGTAAAGGTGCGAGTTCACTCCTCGTTGCCTTGATAAGTATGAATGAGGTTGTTCACTTTACCATGATAGGGGCAGTGACGTACAAGCGCTGGAGTCGGAGAGGGATGCGGTGAGGCTTGATCTTTAAAGCGGGGCTCAAGAGTCAAGATGTTATCTTATGAGGATTACACCGCCCCTCTGTAATATGTGCTTCGCTTAAAAGTTGGAGAGGTAACAATTGTATCATGTTATTTACTCATTGTCAGT